CGTGACGCGTTGAGGAATCTGTGCAAGCTGCCGTTCCAAGCAAGATTGTGGAGGAGGAGAAGGAGGAGAAGGTTGTCTCGCAGCCGAGTGCAGCCACCTCAGCATGGACACGATGAAACGTTGTTCCATCTGGGTACGTCGAACCATTGGCCAGCGATAGCTGCAGAAGTTGCTCCGACCAACTGGCAGGTTGACACGAACGCGAATATCGAGGAATCTGAGGCTTGAAGCACTTGGTGACATGTCTTCCTGGTTTGACTAGTAGCTTGCTACGTTGAACGCCTGGCACCGTACACAATGCATATTTGGGCTGTTTCCAGGTATGTGGCAAGGGGGTTGGCAAGGAAGATTTGATCAAGGACACTGACTGTAAGGGAGAGACTCAGTGCCAAGCAAAAGAGCAATTGGCCTGCCAATCTACGACTCCGCACATTGAAGGAAGTCGGTTGCCAGGACTGGATTGGTGAGAAGAGTTCTCTCAAGAACCTGCCAAAGTGGCGAGTTTACAGTTACTTGGCATAACTTTGTCATCTTCAAGCCAGCCCACTTCATTTGCTTGCCCTTGAGGTGACAAGATTGAGGCCGCAGCCACTCAGGGTGTAGCACCCAAATCAGATCTGATCTACTAATCTACTGTATATATCTATCAATACCTCTCTCTCTATATATATATGTGTGTGTGTGATCGAACAGTTCAACGAGTCATGGAGACTGAGGTTTAGCCATCAACTTCTCCAAGCTCTCGGATCGTCGCACTGGCAGTGGCTTTTAGAATCGATTTCAACCGATGCCTGTGGCGTCGTTCAAACCAATCGCCGGGTCAGAATGAAACAAAACGATGTTTCTTTAACGGGGAGCCTGCTTGGCATTGGCAGGGTCAGCACTCGAGGCGAGATCTTGCGGGCAGGACTTGGGCAAATGAATAAAGCCAACGGAAACTGTGCTAGTTGTATCTAGTCGTTTCATGACGGGAGAGGCACACCTTATGGGCCGCCCAGCTCCAGGTCATACCCATGAGGGCATTGATGAAAGAGTGTAAGCTGTTGGGCTTGGAACTCAGGTGCTATGCGCATAGGACGTCGTGTCGGAGGTGTTTGATGCGCTTGTTGGGTTTTGTCCGTCCGTTGTGGCAGTACATGTGCTCTCCCACCGTCCCGGCAAGACTTCATGACCCAAAACGGAGACAAATTCACTCAATGAGATTGCCATGTGGGTACTGGAGCTTTGCCCTAGAGTCGTGACCCCTTGCAAGCCCCCAATCAGCTCGATTTCGACACGGATCTAGGCAACTGATGGCACCTGTCGCAAAAGGGCTGGTGGCAGCGTTTTGCCATTTGTGGATCATACAGGGAAGCGACAATGTCATGCCTTAGTCCCCGTGGCTTTCAAGCGATTTCATGGTTTTGGGTAGGACTTTGTCAGTTGCCTGTACCATGGCATACGACTCGACCCTCCTCAATCTTGAAGTAAGCAGCCTCGACGAGAAAAGCGAAAGAAAACTACCCCAGAGCGATCGACTCGAGCCGAGTGGAGATGCAAGCGATCACCACCGATGGGCAACGAAGTGAAGTGGTTATTCATGTTATTCTAGATCCCAAGTCCAGGTTGATGGAGACTATAGTCAAAAGTGAAGGAGTGGGGCTGAAGAAAACCAATTGTATGCGACCAGAGGGCAAGAGGCTGGAATCACGCCCGCAAGTTGCCGAGGTATTGATGTGTCAGGCCTCTACGCAAAATGCGAGGCAAAGATTTCTAAGTCTCACATAGTCTCACAGCTATCGAGAGGTGACAAACACGTGAATCCTGCCAGTGCTTTGTGTTGCGCAGGTGATCAAGAAGATGGTGTCTGAGATGAACCGAATTGTGGTCGCAGAAAACTCATTTCGCTTATTTCGTGCCTCTCGCATGCGCCTCACCCTTTTGTGGCTTATCGGCCCAGCCGAGGCTGGTAAGGAGGCATCCTTTTTTGCCAGTGGCCTCAGTCCACATGGCGCATGAGTTCACCGTATGGGCGCTGATATTGGCTCCCAGGTTGCCCACAGTCCCCGGACTGTGGATGAAGGCGCCTTCGCCTGTCGAGCCGTTGGTTACAGGGACTCGAGTCTCATAGGGCCGTTGGGTTCCAATAGTGGATATTGGTGCTTCCTTCTTGGAGAGCATCCCCCTGGCTTCTCCAAAAGCCCGGAACCTGGAAAACGGTGTTTCACTACTGAAGGATTCACCAAGAACGCCGCGATGAAGCATGACACAAACAGCCCTTACTCCTAGACATGTCCATTTGGCGGCCAGGCTCTCAAAGAAGCAACCACCCATCAGTTCAGCAACATCCCCTTGCGCTTACTGGAACATATCCCGTTTGCCATCGGGCCTGCTTGGACGCAACAACAATGAAGCAGATAGGAAAATGATGGAAAAGGAGGCAATATGGATGTTATGTTCCGAATGTTCCGGCCCCTTCTCATGCACAAAAAGACGAGGACAGACCACGTCGGATGGTGTGTGACCTTTGGATTCATCAAAACGGTGGTGAGGTGGCTTCCCAAATTACAGAACCTTCATGAACCTTCATGAGCTGTCCAGATCTGGGATGGCGTCACTGTACCACATCGCAGTTGGCGGCATGCCCCCCACATTGCAATACCCTGCATCGATGCTCAAGGCGGAAAAAAGCCTCCCATTGACGTCCAGGCAGAGGATAGATGGGCCGCAGAGCAAGCGCTTTGTTTGACAGCGAGGGCGCTTGGTTGATGTTCTTTTTTAGGTTCATAATTTGTGCACCTTGCAAACCAAGGTAGGCTAAGACTAAGATTTAGTGATATTTATGCAGGTGTTTTGGGTCCCTTGGTTGAAGATTTATTGAGCTGCGTTCAGACATGAGACATGCTTGTGCAGGCCGAGTTCTTTTTGCCTGAACCTTTGGGTCCTCCTGTTGCTTTGAGACAGCCTCAGCTCGTGCATGAATCACGCAGTTCCTGCGCAGGCCATTGAGGAAAATGACCTAAAAATCCTAAAATGACGAAACACGTGAGTTGTTGCCATTCGCCCACTAAGAGGAGCCGCGAAGAGGGAGCCGCCCACCATAATCCGAGCAGCCGATGCCACGAGGTCACCCTTCACCGAGCTCGGTGAGCCTCCGTCTCCCAAAAGCGATCCTGATCCTTATCATTGGCTCTTCGGGGAGCGCGTCGTAGAGGCTCGGTGCCTTTTCTCGTGAACGCAACCATGTGTGCAATGGATTGACAGGAGGCCAGCGAGCAAGCCAAGGGTTCAGACACGGAAAATGAAGTTGAAGAAATTATCCTCGAGGCATTCGGCCATCATAGTGCACGTGTTGTCCATTTGAAGTCAGTGAAACCTACCGCATGCCTACGGCCCAGGCAAGCCCAAAAGCAGCTCCAAAGGAGCCAAGGGAGATGTCTCAGCCTAGGGTATCCACTTCAGCTTCAGAGGTGTGGAGAGAGCGCGAACGGAACGGTCAGATGAGCACAGCCGTGAGAACGCACCGCTCTGAAACAACGAACGCTTCTCACAGGGCATTGGTGCCGTTGGGACGGCCCAACGGCGTGTCAGGAGCTGAGACTGTGGCAGTGAGTTTTTTGATCTAAGAATTGGCCGGATCTTGAGGAGACAAAGTCCAAAGCACCAATGGGTGCAATTCACCAAGGCCTCCATTTCTGAGCTGTTCCGGCTGCCACTTCCCGAGCTTCAAATAAGGCATGACTATATATATATATATTTGTTTCTTTTTTTGGCATGTTCATCCAGCCACACATTTCACCTTTGGTGCAGCAGGTGTGAAGCAGAGGGTATTACAGCTGCTGCCCCAGATATATGATGGCTGTGTAGCTGACATGGTCGGAGCTTTGGTCGACAGACAAACCCTTGTGATTATATACAAAGGTTGCTGCTGGGGATGCCAAAGGGCTCCTGATTTCAAAGTTAAAGCAAGCAATGCGCACGACTCAGTTTTGGTTTTCATCTCGACGGATGATGCTTGGGGAACGACGGCACCTATCAAGGACTAGATCTGTGGCACCAGCCACAGCCAAAGAAAGCAACGACTGGACGAAGGCAGCCAAGCTCGAGCCGCCAGTTGCTGCGCCAGAAGCTCCTGACAAGGTTGAGCCCTTGGAAGGACCTCAAGTCTTCCACATGGCCTCGGATGACGAGAGCCTCTCCGCAGAACATTCCGATGCGGACTTTTTCCCCGACTTTCCTGCGCCGCCTCCCGCGGAAGAGGCCGGACACATCGCTGAAACAGGACCGACTTCGGGTGACGCAGCTCACGTGTCGCCTGGAGCCGGGGAATCGAAGTCAGCCAGTGAGAGTATGGACCAAGCCCAGGCCAGTTCGGAAGCAGAGGCATTTGAAAGGACAGGCTCTTCCTCTTCCATTGAAACTGACGCAGTGCCAGTGGCGCCAGCAGAAAAGACACAAGCACAAGGTGCTGAATCACAATCCAAGCAAGCGCCAGATGCTGCTGAACCACAGCAAGCAGCTGCTCAACCATCATCGGCAGCAACTGAAACCACAACGACCAGCACAACAGCTGATCAAGCTTTGGATGATGCAGATGCTAAGGCCCAGCCTACCTTGTGCCTCAGTTTGTAAAAGTATTGGACTTTGACACAGATGCCGGAGATTGTGTTCAAAGCTAGGCCACGGTACCATGAATACCGGACACCGCGCAAATTGGCAGACCGGCAGGATCTAGACGAGGGTGACATGTCCAGCGAGCGCACTAGCCTCAAGACTTTGGCATTGGACTTGAATTGTGTTCCAGAGAGAGAGGAAACAGTAGCAGCAAAATAGTATGTGGCATGATGAGTCATGGGCGTGGCTTTCACAAGAGGAAGGAATCGCTAGCCCATTAGGGTGTGCAGCCAAGAATGGGAATAGCAAGTTGGGATGGTCTTGAATTATTTGGACGTTGTGTCCTAAGGTGACGGAGGAATGTTTGACTTCGATGATCTGGACGAAGCCGAGGCCTTTCAGAAGCGGGTTCGCTCTCCGGCAGTGCTTCTCTTCATTTGATGAGGTTCAAAAGGCTTCTCTCGACAAGTGAACCATGATCATAAGACATGTTTGACATACTTTAACAGTAGAAGAGTAGCCAGAGACCAGGAAAGCGAGACCAGGACATCACCTGGTCTCCTTCTTTCCTGGTCTTCGCTTTCGGAAGCCTGGGCTTCAGCCATCACCTTCCAGCCATCGCCATCGAACTTCGAGATGTGAACTAGAGTCAGGTAGTGAGTCAGGTCTATTTCTGCACTGATTCTGTGCCGCCAGCGCCGCCAGCGTCGCTTGACCTTTTTCCGTGGCCACATGGGATCTCGCAGCCCCACGCAGATGGGACCTCACCAGCTCTCCGTGGGGCCCCCCATTGGCACCATCTCATCCTCCAACCATTGAGAGCTCGGGGACATGGTGAGCCGGTGAGCCTTGCTGGCCCTCCAGCCGGTGAGAACATGCCTGCGCAGCCACTCAAGTGGCCGGGCAGTGCACCTCACATTGGAGAATGTCCGATTTCCATGCGGAGCAGCTGAAAATTACATGTTCCGTCACCCTGCGAAAAGCCAGCACACCGCAACCAAAACAGGTTGAGAAAGGTTCACCTGGAATTCTCCAGGAAAACTGGGAGATAGGCAAGGGCTCATGGGAAGCTGATAAAGCTGCACCATACTACGTGCCACCACGTATAAAGGAAAATATCCGGCATTTTCCATACAGAACCAAGGAAAATAGCCTACTGATTCCGTCTTCCACAGGAAAACCAGCGCATGTGGAGCCTGATCGAGAGGCCGCTCCGAGCAAACTCACAATGCACGTTGTTTGCTCGCTCTTTGATCTCATGTCTTTTTTGCTGTAGCCGTTGCTTTGGCCGGTTGTTCGTTGTTCCCTCTAGCAACCTTTAACAGCGGCGGCAATAGTACTGCGATGAAGCTCACAATAGTTGGCGGGATTTGGCGAAGGCCCAGGACAAAACGAAGATATCCCCTGGTAGCAGCGACATGGTCACTCACCATGTTGCCAGAATGCGGTTGACGGGAAGCATTCGGCAATGGCTGAGTCATCCAATGGTCTGTCCCATGACATGCCACAATCATCGAGTGAGTATATCTTCCAGCACTTGTGAATATGTCATCCGTGAATGTTCATCATCATTAAACATGTGAAACATCCTTTGTACTGCGAATGTTCCCTGCCTCTTCCCTGCCGAGATCGGCAGGTGGGTTCCCAGCTGCCCACCTCGGGCGGTCTGCCGATGCCCTCGCCGGACGAGCCTGCCGGGCCGGTGGAGAAGTCCCCCGGACTCGCCGAGCCGGTGAGTCAGAGCCAGTCAGTGGCTCCGAACGAGAACCAGAGCCGCAGTGACAAAGATCCAGATGCATCTTCAGAGGGTGGAACACTGAGTGTTTTTATGTTGTTTTTATGATTTTTGAACATGTTCTTACACTGATGCGCTGGCACTGGAAAGCATCTAGACATGAACAACTGCCTGGTGGAAGTTGGTGAAGACTGAGGCTCTAAGAATCCTTTGCTGAAGTTTACCACCAAGGTGGGTATCTATTTAGGTTTCTTGCCCGGCACAGCTGCCCCGCCGGCATCCACGGGCTGACGCCCACCGGCCACGTGGCAGGAGCTCCTGGAACTCGCAAGGTCTCGTGGGGTCTGGAGCTTGGGTGCCGTGGGTGGACATCGCTTCGCCATGGATTGCGCAGTGAAAATGACAAGACAACGAAGACAAGAAAGACACAAGTGAGTGATGAGTCATGTAAAGCCATTCATATTCATCATCATCATCATCATCATCATCAAAACATATTCCAACATCATCCAACTACGGCCTAGAGCTTTTCCTCAGGTGGATGTCCGTGGTTGTGTGGAGAAGAGCGCTGCCGACCTGTTGACACCTGCTTTGCTAATTTTACTGGTCAATCTGCGTCCAGGGACCCCCCTAGCGCCTATATTACTATACAGCTTGAACCTGGAACGAATAGGTGTGTATTGACATGGGAAGGCCTAAAACCCCTCCGGCACCTGTGAAAAATGATCCCTGTTGCTACCGGTTAGCTAAAATGAGTGTGGTCAACCACGGAAAACCATGGAATACCATGGAATACCCATTTTATGTGTCTCTTTTTTTGACTCATTTAGTTTAAGGGTTTTCATGTTTTTTCTAAAAATGGTCTTATATATATATATATAATGGATGACATGGATGAACTCTTTGCACAGTCAAATTAGCCAGTCACAACAGAAAGTGGTGTTCTTGTTGCACTTTGAAACAGAATGAGATGTATAGATCTGAAAGTCTCACCAGTTGGGGAGGTGAACCTCAGTCGTCGGTAGCAAACAGGGATTAAACATGCCAAGGGTTTGGGGCCTCCATGGGGCTCCCTATTCATCCCCCTTATTGGGGCACGCACCCAACCGTGCTCTCACCCGGTGGCCGACTCGTCCGGTGGCGATCGTTCAGGCGATATCGTGGACCGACTCACCCGAGCTCCACGGGTCTGCAGCTCGGAGGGAGGGACCGGTTGTAGTTTGGCAGGTCAAGAGTGCTTTGGATGTGTTTTTGGTAAAGCACATGTGTTCGGCACATGTGTTCGGCTGTGTCCTTGCGCTTCTTTTGGCTGTGTCCGCATGTAATTGGATGTGTTTGTTTTGCTTTCTTGTAGAGTAAGTACCTGTGGTTTGGACGTTGGAGTTTCGTCATGTTTTGTTTGTCCCCTCTTAGTGACTTCGTGCCAAATCTAGATGCTCACTGAGATACAAAGTGCCGGCTTTGTACACAAAAATACGTATATAAAAGTTACACTGTACTCAGTACTCCTTTGTTTCTTCTTTTGCTCATCTCAGGTACCTCCATCTCCGGCACAGCAAAGCCGTCCGGCACAGCAAGGCGTTCGTCGACTCTTTCGACTCGTACACCTTGTCACTCCTTCCGCCCAATGGAATGAATGCGCCCAACGAGGCGTTCCTCCCAAGCCACCCATGCAGGGGACCCCCAGACGGCTCGGGTCGACTCACTCGCTAAGACGGATTCAACGCTGAGGGCCAAGCCACCGACGCGGACATCCAGCTTTCAGGAGGGAACTGGGAGACGGCGGGAGCTAGAGGGGGATGAAAAAGGATGGTTTGTGTCCATCATGATCAAGTCATTCCAGGCCAGCAAGCCACCTCCAAGTGCCCCTGCGCCCAAGCCTTAGTACAATGCGTAGTTTTGTAGAAAGCTATAAAATATAAATATATATATATAGGTCGTTTAATTTGTGTGTTTTAAATATTATATGTATATATATATACATGCATGACTTGGGGGCTTATTGACCTGGATACTGCCTCACTCGCAACGATCCACTCTAAGATATCCACGTAGGACCTGGATACAGCCATGTGAAAAATCGAGCCAGTGGCCGCAAGCGGCATCGTGAGAGCTACTCGTAGGGTGGTCCGGATTGAGGCCAAAGCCTGCAGCAAAACGACCGGCGAAGGCACATGGCACGAATCAAGCTTGGGCATTGTTTAAACCCATATTAAAAGCCTTAATTGCACGTAGCCAGAACAGATCCTTGTCAATCTTTGCTGTCCCTAGGTTGCCCGTCGACCCCCTGCAAACGTGATGCCAGATCCTGGCAATCAATCGGCTGCAGCCTCAAACTTGAGACATTTGTAGCATCGCTATTAGGTTGGAGGTCATTGCCTCTAGGGTGGAGGCCATTCCAATTAGGTTGGCGCTTTTGAAGTCAGAGCCTCAAGGCTCCACCCCTACGCCATCCTGGCGAGATTCCGGATGGCTGGAGTGCCAGGGTTCAAACTTGGTCGAAGCCTCGAGAACCAGTGCCAACCGGATCCGCACTGCCACACCACACTGCCAGCGACCGCCCCCCTGCTTTGCACACCCGCAGCGAGGTTCGGAAGGTACCCGGGCTTTTCGGCCATGCTGCCACCAGAAGCCGAGATGTGGACGGACCAGGAGCTTGATGCTCGGACCCTGGCTTCCACAAAATTGGGCTTCGATCGTTTGAAACGGAGGAATGAAGCTGAAAGAGGTGTGCACTGGAATAGGGAGACCTCTCAGAACCTTCGAGCAGCAGGAGACTAAAAAGCATTGGAGTGTAGGCTCTCTCGATTCTAGCACGCTTAATTCATTTGGAAATGAGGAGGGGCTATTTGTAATTACATGCTCAAACTTGTTCGATCCTTTTCATATGTGACAATCTTGTTGTCCATCCGTACGTGTAGGAAAGGATATCTCACATCCTGTGCCATTGAAAGAAGAACACCTCATGTTGATCTCGATCTTGCACCTTTGTTGATGTTCCTCAGGTCTACTTTGGCAGCAATGGGGACATCTGGTGATCTCCTCAGCGAACCCTCTTCACCGATGACTTGATTGACTTGCATGAAAGGGGAGTTGCCATTGGTCGCTTTCATGAGGCCTCGGGGGAAAAGACCTGCATGGTCTTCTGCCTCAGTCTTCACAGATGCGGGCAGAAGCGTTGTCCAGTTTTTTGTTCCGCAAGAAGCTACTAGTAGCAAGAAGCTACTAGGTTGGAGGCCACCCCTTCTAGGTTGGAGGCCATCGCTACTAGGTTGGAGGCCATCGCTACTAGGTTGGAGGCCATCCATCGCCACTAGGTTGGAGGCCATCGC